CGGGAGCGGGGCGGAAACGGGCTGGAACGTGGCTGGAATCTGCAGCTGGGCCAAATTCACAAAGTGCATTCCGAATCTAGAGAAACCTGAAGAACAGCCAAATAGTATCCCCCTCCCCGCCCCGTGAGGGAAGAGCCCGGGATAGCTCGGTCTTGCTGGGACATGCAGCCCGGGATAGCTCAGCCCTGCTCTGCCGCTCCACCGGGGAGGCTGGAGCCTGGGCACGACTCGGAGTTCAGGGATTTTCCTTCTCTCGGAAGCCACCTCCTCCCTGACGGGCGCAGCAGCTGCCCCGCGGGAGCTGCTTGCAGAGCTGGTGGTGGCTGGAATCCTGCAGCTTCCTTGGCGTTTGCAGCTGCCTGCTTGGTTTACGCGGGGTAACGGTGTCCCGGGGTCACGTTGCTCCGCGGTTCCCTGAGTGGAAACAAGAAGTCAGACCAAAGCCCTCAAGTTGTTTTTGTAAACTGCCCTTCGGAAACGTGAAGATCCTGTTGAAGGTACTCAGATATGCATTTCTGCTAAGCCACTGATCATTGAGCTCCATTGCTTTATCAGAAAGACTGTGCAATTGAAACAAAAACGAGGAGAAGGGGCTGGTGGGATCCAGCCCCTTGCTTGGATAGCGCTCCCAGGCCCTTCCCGCTGGACCTCGGCTCGGGAGGTGGCTTCAGACGAAACCTTCCCGCTGCGCCCCGCAGCCGCCCGTGCGTTTGAAGCCACTTCCCTGGGAGGCTCCACGGGGCCGGGGTCCTTCTGCCCGCGGAGGGGCTCCCTCCTGCGCGGGGGCTGCGCACACGCGGCGGCCGGGAGCGGTTCCAGGGCACAGGGACCTTCTCCTCGCGCTCTCGAGGCCGGCAGGGAGCGGACGGTGGCGGTGATGGCTCTCGAGGCCCTGCAGGGCTCGGAAATGCTCGTGCAAAGCGCAGTTGGTTGCCTTGCGAATCAGTTCGGAATCAGTTCCGCAAAGCAGCGCTGCTGTTGTAAGTTGGGGAGGCCTTGCTGTTTCCCCGCAGAGGTTGGATTTTCCCTCCCCGCTTCACATCTCGCACCCCTGCACTCCTGGCCGTGCAGCTGCCCGTGGTGCTTCTCCCACTGCCCTTGCTCTTCACGCGCATCCACTGGCGGCACCGAGTACTTTTGTGGGTGCTTCCGTGTATCCCGATAGCATCTTAGTGCCGTAGGAGTTATCTGGCCCCCAAAGCACGTTGTTCAGAGCATCACTGCGTGTCTTGTGTTCGTAGCCCCGATGCCCGAGGCTGGTGGCTGAGGCTGCGATGGGGCAAGGCAGAGAGCGAGAGCCGTGGAGCACTGGGCCGAGCTCACTGCGCAGCCTGGGCGGAGGAGCGGAGCATGCAGCAGCGTGCAACAGCGTGCAACAGCGTGCAGGAGTGTGCAGTGGTGTGCAGGAGTGTGCAGGAGCATGCAGCAGCATGCAACAGTGTGCAGGAGCCTGCAGCAGTGTGCAAGAGCATGCAGGAGCCTGCAGCAGTGTGCAGCAGCATGCAGGACCATGCAGCAATGTGCAGAACATGCAGGAGTGTGCAGGAGCGTGCGGGAGGAGAGGGGCACGCAGTGCCAGGACGGCGGCCAAGCCCTGCAGATTCCCACCTTCCGCATCACCTGCAAACGGACGCGCCTGAGCAGCGAGCAGCCGGCCGGGGCGAAGCAGCCGCACAAGCACATGCCCCACCTGCCCTTACTTGTACGGACCAACAGCACTTGCACTTTAGCAGAGCGGCCGGGGCGCCCGGAGCGGAGGCGCCAGGAGGTGCCGGGCGAGCGGCCCCG